TAATTTTTGGTGATTTTTTGAATTTTCTCTCATTGGAATGCATTGGACGGAAAGTTCAATACATTCCAATGAGAGAAAATTCAAAAAATCACTAAAAATTAAGGACGACTCAGAACAACATCAAATTAAGTTTGCATAGGGTTCAGGAGGTGGGCTAACGATTGCAAGCATTTAAAACCTGTTCCAAACATTGTAAGGCACTTTTAAATGAGCGAAAACGGACTTCGCAAAGCCATTGAAATATATTGAGTCGGCTTCAATACATTCCAATGGAGGAAACATTGTTTCACTCAACGATGTTTCCTATGGGTTTTTTCACTTAAAGACGGCAATCTGTTCCAATTGGAACGGATTAACCGGTTTTCAATTCATTCCTATGGGAAATGGTGTTTCACAGAACGATGTTTCACACAACGTTGATTTTTTTGGAACCAATTAACATCGTTGTGTGAGGCACCACTGTACTTTGGTTTGGGAAGTGGCCCTACAGGGAGGTTGGGCCGTTTGAACTGGTTGTAAGAATTGTTTCCAAAGTTGGAGTTTTAGCCTCAAGAGGTGAGATTGACGAACTCCAGGCTTAAAATTTTTGCAATGGGTACAGGAGGAACTTTGATGTTGTTCTCTCAAACAGAAAAGGCACTTAGCATGTCCATCGGAAAGTGGGATCTTATTATCACGGACAACGCAGTGCTTAAACAGGCCCAAAGAGGCCATGAATAGGAGAAAATAATTTGAGGAGAAAAAGGATGGTTGAAAAGGGGAGGGGTGCTGCGGCCGGAGGCCGAGTGAGGTAGAAAGGGTAAAAAATCTCTGATGATAATGAGTTAATAGTTTTAAAAGAAAAAGACTGATAACAAGAAGAAATCAAGAATAAGCTCTTTCTCTTTTGTCACAGAAGCGGAATTATGAGGCTTTCAATGCGGCAGTTGCAAGAAACTGAAAGGGAAAGCTTGGTGCCAAGATACTTATATGGGTGGGGAGGGGCATATTCTAATGTGTTGATTGCTACCACAGAAGCTTTAGAATCTTCCGATGAGGCTCCATGCAGGCATGAATCACCCAGGGTGTGATTCACAGAGGCCACGAAGAACCCTCTCTTCCTCCACACCATGTCTTCCACTTCAAATCACAATCACAGTGACTTGAGTGGTGTTTTTTCAGGCCCACATTCTTATTTTTCACCATCACCACACACACACAAAAGAAACACAGCTATGTGGCCTGTGAATAAATTCAAAAGCATGACTGGGGTAATACCTTTGCCAGACCTATCATTTTAAAAGTAAGATTTTTAAATCCTCCAACACAGTCTTCAGACTTTTCTGTTTTACTCCACCCCTCCACTCCAACCACTCCAATGTCCAGCTTGCTGAAGAGCCCTGAAGAACTTGAAATCTCACCCTTTCAATGATATTTTATTGGTCCAATAAAGGTATTTCCCAACCCTCATTTTGGATCATCATGGAAATATATAGCACACAGTGCTAACATATAGATATATTGAATTATTGCTCCTTTTATACCTCTTGTGGTATGAAATTCTCTCACCAGATCTTTAATGTCCATATCGGGGTGTTCTAGAAAGAAAAAGCAAGAGAAACTAGTTAAAGTAAACATTCAGAACATCAGATTTTACTAAGATTTGGGATGGTGGTGATTCGCAAATAAACTACATAATGAAGCTAAGGCGCTGATATTGCTACTCCAAATGATCAAAATTGCTCTATGATTCAATATTTTAAAAAAATATTTTTTTAAAAAATTAAATAGCAGAAGCAAACCTTCTCGGAAAAGTATCAATTCTCTGAAATAGACAGCTGCAAACTCGGTGATGTTGGGGGGACTGGCTTTGAGAACAGCCCTGCTCACTCCTTCAAGCAGAGTCTTAAGGCCATACGGAACCACCATCCTGGGCTTTGCAGTTTGCATTGTTGCCCCCTGAAGATGAAACTGCAGTTTCACAACTGGAAGGAAAACAAGCTAGATGAAAGACAATATTATTTCTACAGTACAGTATAGGTGACACTTAACAAAACTGAGGAGCAATCCCAGAGCTTGGGAAAGTAATGTTTTGGAGTAAAATTCCCAGAATCCTCCACCAGCAGAGACAGTTTTCCAACCTCTGGTTCTGCCTATTACATATGCAGCCTGCAAACAAGGCAGCTACCACAGACTAGTGTCATAGACTGTGTTTTAATATTGTGGCCATTTGTGTAAATACACCTAGAAAAGTATAAATGCCCCTTGGTAAACAGCAAACACATTCCTCCTATACTAAATCACAAGATTTAAGAGGTGGATTTGTCTGCAACATGAAAAATCATGTGTGGACAACTATGATCAGACTCTATGTGTTGTTCGACTGCACCTTCCACTGGCCCTGGCCAGCACAGGCCACTGTGAAGGACACTAGTCTGATACCTGGAGTGACCCCCTCTTTCTTGTCTGCTCCTGTATTATAAGGAAACTTCTCAAACAGCCCGTCACTCGCCATGTAAATACATGGAACTATTAAACGGCCACATTAGGACTACCTCAACCATCAGGAAGAGTGAAACAGCTGCCTGGGATATTATATTGATTGACTGATGGTCACATGAAAGAACAAAACGGTTAAGAATTCATTATTGTATTTTCATTGCTGGTGCAAGGGAGAAGTAGGTGCAGGATTTTGTGCCACAAACAACAAGACAATTTAGACTATGGACCAATTGGTACTATGATCCAAACATCTGGGTGGGAGTGAGAACTACCATTTACTGCTTCACTTAGGTAGCAAAAGGTTTGGGTTGACATGCATGACCTCTTCATAAGCAATCAGAAGCAGCTGCAAACTATCATCCGTCCTAGGACATAGTGGGAAGTGGGAGCAGGGAACGGCCTCACAGAGGCCACCTCTGTCTGTCTGTCTCTCTCACTCACTCACACTCACACTCACACTCACACTCACACACACACACACACACGGCACATAATCCCAATGGGATGTGAGTCTCAAGAGCAAACAGTTCCTTCTCTGCCATAAACTCTTAAGGCTTCCCACCCCAACCTCAACCAGGACTATCAAACTTTGGACATACCGTGAGAAGACTCACTGGAAAATACAATAGTGCCAGGGAAAGCAGCAGGGAGTAGAAGAGGAAGACCCCTAGCATGAGAGGAAACGACTCAATGAAAGGACGCCCAGCCTCGCGTTTGCAAGACCTGGGCAGGGCTGCTCCTGACAAGACCTTTCGGACGTCAAGAGTTCATAGCGCCACCCTACGTCGGAAACGCTCCGGAGGGACGGCCAACAAGGAACCCCCACACCCGTTGCCCCTTCGAGACGAGATGCTTTCACAGACAACCGCGGCCCCCCACCCCCCTGTTCTCTTTGGTTTGCCGCTCCTCTCCTCTCCTCCCTTCCCCTCCCTCTTTCCTCCGCCCCCACCCTGATCCGCAGGAGGACGCCTTCGCTCCCCCTAAACCGCAACCGCTCCGAAGACGTCCCCACCTTTCTTGTTTTTTTAACTATTACACTCGTCGGCAGTAATAACGCTCTCTCCTCGCCCCTTGCCGGAGCCTCCTCTAGAGGTGGAACGGAGCCGGGCATGCCTTTTATATCAAGGCTCGCCTGGTGGGCGGGTCCAGAGCGTGCGCAATTGTGAGGTCACAAACGCCGGCTTAGACTGTAGGGCGGTTAGCGCCGAGGCCAAGCGGGCAGGCGCGCGCCCGTCCGCCCCCCCCCGCGTGCTCTGCCGTTCGCCTGTTTTCGGCGCGTGGACGTGATTCGTGGCTATGACGTGGGTCGTTGAGCCGATTCCCGTCCCCCGTTCTTTTCTAGAGTTAAGCTCGTTCTTAAACCTCGTCCGTACGAGACAATAAGCCAGACTTCCTTTAGATCAGGAGTGAGGAGCATGTAGCGCCCGCCTGTTGTTGGTCTGCGCCTTCTATCGGCTCTAGGCTGCTCAGTCAATGGAAGCTGATGGGAGCAGCAGCGCAACACTGGAAGGGCCAAAGCTGCCCATCCGTCAGCCGGATCACGCTAGTAAAAGTGCGCAGATAAACTCATTACTGTAGTTCCCTCGGCTATGACACCTTCTGAAAGGGAATTATCTGCCCTTCTGTTTTGCATATTATCTTAACACAAACAGGCACGTGTGTATTGGTGATTGAATGCCCCAGTCCCATATTCTGCACAGAGCAATATGAGAACATACACATGGTTTGTAGAGGGCAGCGCTTCCTATATGATGATCAAAATCAAACTGCAAATAGATTGTAAAAGAAGGAAGATTTCAATGTAACTAATATATTGGTTGTTGTGGGTTTTTCGGGCTCTTTGGCCCTGTTTTGAAGATTGTTCTTCCTAACGTTTCACCAGTTTCTGTGGTCGGCATCTTCAGAGGACAGCACTCTGTGCTCTGGGTGTAGTTGGCTTGGGAGTGGACTCCCTCTGAAGATGCCGGCCACAGAAACTGGTGAAACGTTAGGAAGAACAATCTTCAAAACAGGGCCAAAGAGCCCGAAAAACCCACAACAACCATTAGATCCTGGCCGTGAAAGCCTTCGCAAATACATAATGAATATATGTTTCTCTGCAACTTTTAGCTGCATGATTATTTCCAGAAAATGGCATTGGGGAAATTTCTGCTCACTCCCGTCATGGCTGGTGTGCTCTGCCGTTCTACAGGGGTACTTACATTCTGCTCCTCCCATTATCTTTAATATCTATATTTCTATATGAAGCCATTGGACAAATAAGCTGATGACACAGAGATTTGTTCTTGCCACCCCAGTCAATTGAAATTGTGCCTGAGGACTGAAAAAATGGTTACTGATCGCAAGTTGCCAAGATATCAGACTGAAGTATATAAATATTTGCTTCTGGTTTGAAAGACCTTTAAGGACTGCTACACAACCGAATCCTCACCCACAAACACTGGTCAATTTAGATGGGCCTGATGGTCATAGTCGGAAATATCTGGAAGGCACCGGAAACCAGATGCTGTATTTTATCATCATCTTCTAACACTCTTTATTTAAAAAATATTTGGAGCAAGTAAATTTCAACTTAGAAATTGTTTAACAGTCTGCTATAAAATCATTAAGTGGGAAGTAATGTAACATCAGTCATTCACAGAGAACACACACAAAGGGCTGCAGTACCTCATATATAAACTCCATTACCATCCCAGAGACCGTTGCATGTTAAGCACAAAGGCTGAAGGAGCCTAAGCACTCTTAGATGAATGTATTCTGCCTCATTTTCATCAGGAATCCCAATAGTGCAGAATTCCTAATTTGTGGAAGGGTTTTTACCACAAACATCCATAATGTGGTTAAACTCCTGGTTCAAACCTTTATGCTCAGTCTGTATCTGGGAAGGAGATGTCACATGTAGCCTCACAGTTCTATGACCATACTCTCTATTAATACCTGAATAAGTCTTTAGTCTAATCCAACAGACAAACAGAGGACTCTCCAGCTACTTCCACATCAATCAGTTTATGGGCCTAAATCAGGTCAGGACGCTGGAAGTCTGGACAAGTCCATCACAAGCAGGTAGGAGGCAAAGCAACCAATTCAGGATAGGTAAAATGTCTTTCCAATGTCAACTATTGCCAACAGCTAGCTATAGATTTTATGTACCATTTGATCCCAAAGGAAATGTACTGATGCAACGTCATGACATGATAAAGGAAGGAACTCTTCCCAAGTTGTGTGTCTCACAAACGAGGAAGTAGAAACAAGGTTTCATGCATGCACAATATATAGTGAATAATATATATAATGAATAAGACTCAGCCTTCTATCCTTCCGAGGTCGGTAAAATGAGTACCCAGCTTGCTGGGGGGGCAATGTGTAGCCTGTATAATTAAATTGTAAACCGCCCGGAGAGTGCTTGTAGCGCTATGGGGCGGTATATAAGTCAAAAAAAATATGCATGAATAATATATTTGCTTTGCTCTCTGGGGAAAGATTCCAAAATGTTCCCTTGGTATAAACTTTATTTTGCTTTCCCTCCTAGAAGTCTGGCAGCATCCAATCTTTATATTTTAAAAACCAAAATCTTTCCTCTTAATACATATATAGAGTACAAAGATATGCCCTTCCATTTTGTGTAATCATGCAACCCCTTCGATCACTACATTCGTATATGGCACATTAAATGGTATTCTTAAATGGAGAGGCGAAGTCAAAACAAGGTACTATGTATTTTTATTTAAGAGCAAATATGGAGAGAATAAGAAGCACAGCACTGTAAAAGCATTGAATGTTTATGACAGAAGACAAAATATTTGAGCCAAAGAAAAACTGAACATATATTTGAAGGAAAATGTTCAAAAAAATGAATCAAGTACAGATTTTGCATCTGTGGGTCTTTGGAGTACACCTGGAATACTCTTGCTTAAGCAACGCATGAAAGACCAGCTGTATGTTTAATTGAGCATCTGCACTCAAATAATACATGTGACAGCGCATCCACTGTAAATGGCACACATACACTCAAATAGCAAGACTTCTTAAGTAAAGATGGAAGAGGCTGAAAGGAAAAGAGCACTCTCTTGGTTTCGTATATTTTGAGGAATGTGATATAAATGTATGTGTGCCGTTTACAACAGACAGTACCATTTTGCAATTTGATACTCATTGCCAAGTGTAAAATCAGTTCTGAGTTAAATACGATATACTGTATGTCTGTTCCCAGCTAAAGTTGGAGAAACTATGCCATGGGAAGAATAGGTTTTCAGATAACTGTTTAGAGGACTTTGACTCAATTCTCACAAAGGTGGCAATCCAATGCGTAGGATTTACACAAGGCTAGGGTCAGATAATATAGAAAACTATGAAGTTTTCTATATTAGATTACTTCATTGGAAGAACTGGTAGTTAACTCACTGGCTGAGGTCTCTGGCTGTGAAGCCAGAGGTTGGGAATTCAATTCTCCACTGTGCCTCCTTGTCAGGGGCTGGACTTGATGATCCACAGGGCCCTTTCCAGCTCTTCAGTTCTAAGGTTATTATTATTATAAATTATATAAAAGCCTGATTATGTTAGGAAGAAGGATTCTAAGTTAGAAACCTTATTCTGGCAAGTTATTTTCCTATCTGGATTGGGGGCTTTGTTTGTCTGACTGTTCAATGTGGAGAAGCATTCACTGGAGACTGAAGCAGTTCAGGTTAGACAAAGATTTATAAATTTGGTGAAGAATAAAGACTAAGAACAGACTAGACATTTAACAGGGACAGTCTCATCAAAGTTTCCATTTTAATATAGCTGGAGCTGGGTCTCTCTGTTTTAACATAGCTAAATAACATTTCCATCAGCTCAAACCATGTCCCATGCTGCTTTCCACAGTCATAGGAGATATCTAGCCCAGCTATGGGTTCATGTGAGAAAAAAGTCTTGGGATAGAGGTACGGTATAGTGATCCTTCCTTCCTCTACTCTTAATCAATTCAGAACACCTCTTTAAAATAAAACTACTGGGAGACAGTACAGATTTCCCTCTGTAATATCAAATTTGGCCACCAATCATACAGTTCAGTTTGATGCACTTTGCATGTAGGTCATTCAGAAGTTACTTAACTAAGGTATATGAAAAGAGAAAGCCCAAATCTTGTTTTTAAATTCAGTTAGCAGAAGTGTTTTTAATAGAAGTTCTGTAATTTAATGACATGTATAGCATACCACAGAAAACTTCTAAACGGACATGTAAAAATTCACATTATTCACTTAAAGTCATAATACAATTAAAAGATATTATCAACAACAAAAATATACCTGACCAGGTAATTTCTTTTTAACAAATAAGAATGAATTATTGCTATTAGACCATGCCTCCGAGCTATAAAATATAAAAACATATTCCAATTACATAAAATACAGTTCTCATCATTGGCATAATCTAATATAAAAATATCTTTGACATTTACAGCCTAAAGGTTTCTTCTATCAAGAGTGCATGGGGAAGGGGAACATGAGAAGAAATACATGAACTAATGTGGCACTGAGTTGCTGTCAATGCACAAGTCAAGGTTATTTTTTCTCCCAAGGTTAATGCATCTCCAAACAGGCCTGCAAATGTATTACTACAACTCAACCTCTCATCTGGTTACTGGTGAGCAGGCCTATGATCATAATACAATCTGTTACTTTAATAGTCTTGCTCCCACATATACTGATCTGTATTGCCCAAGTCATTTGTGGTAGCACAAATGTACCTGGATGTAGCTTGCTTCAATTGCAGATTATAGTGGTATCTCAATTTACGAACTTAATCCGTATTGGAACAGCATTCATACATCGAAAAGTTTGTAAGTCGAGGCAAACTTTTCCATAAGAATGCATTGAAAACCATTTAATCCGTACCTGCTGTTTTTCGTTTGTATGTCGAGGCGCTGTTTGTAGGCAGAGCCATTAGTTCCCATAGGAACTAATGCAAAACTGGTTAATCTGTACTACTAGGGGGTGATTTTTTTAAAAAAATTTTCTTCTTTTGACCTAAGATGAACTTAGGTCAAAAAAAGTATAGGAAAGGGGTTTTTCGGGGGTTTTTGGTTCGTAAGTCGAGGCTCTGTTCGCAAGTCGAAGCAACTTTTTGCGAACAGTGCCGCTCGTAACTTGAATCGTTCGCAAGTGGAGATGTTCGTAAGTTGAGGTACCACTGTATAATGCCCATCTGGTTTGACATCTGTGGTACATATCTGAAGAAAAAATGCAAGTAGAGAAAATCACTTGGAGCAAGAAGGAACTGTAACAGAAAATGAATTCAAGGATATTATTTCTACTTAATGAATCACAGTTTAGGATCAAAACTACTTACATACAGGTACATAGCATTTCCATCCTCTCCTTGTCCAAGTATTCTCTTCTGCTAAGTTTTGGTATTTTTTCCAGATGCAGGAAAATGTTCATGTTTTCTATCCCCCGAAGTCCCTTGTATCCCAAAAATATACATGCACAAGGGTGCTGCTGCTATAATCTATGCCCACAGATGTTCTGTGTGGCCTGCTGGAAAGCTCTAACACTACTCCTGTTCTTGGCTTCCTGCCCTGTTCTTTTTTTTACAACTCCTGCTTTGAACAATGTGACAATGTATTACAGGTGATTGTGATAAAACTCTGGATTTGTAAAACTATGAATTCTTCCATTTTAAGACACACACAAACCCATTCAATATTTTCATATGTATGACAGCACAAGAGCCAAAGACCAAAGTCTATAAACTGCAAGAAAAAGCAAGAAACTGTCAATTTAAAACAGACTCCAATCAAAGCAAGAAAATGAAGCCTGAAGAAATGTATTCACAGATTACAGTGCTATTATAAAATTGAAGCAGCATTATATTACCTAAGATTTTATTTTTTATTTTATTTCAAACAGAGGTTCAAGGGCAACGGAGTATCCAGAGAGCAAAGGGAGACAGTCTATTCCAGCAGCTTTGGAATGTACTTGGCAATTCCAGTTTGGGTGTGTGGCAATCTCCTGAAGTGGACTGATTCACACCATATGTGCTGCACCATCCAAAGCAGCACTGGATAGAGAGGTGAGGGGGGGAAACCCCTGCTTGCACTCAGCTTCACAGATTTAGTGGGAACCTAGTCAACTTGCAGTTGGAACCAATGGATTTCCACTCTCCATGTGCTATAGACACCCTGCAGCCAGCAAGTTCAGGTGAAGTGCAAACAAGATTTGGCTAAGCATGCCAGAATCAAAGTACAGAGAAGAATGATAGAAAGAATGAAAGTACGGTAAGGCTTTTCAATTTTAAAAGAAAAAGTGCACTATCTTTGCTCCACAAAATTATACAACTGTCGAGCATTTAGGAAAGACCGCTACTCCAAAAATTATGTTTCTTGCTGTTCTTTAAAAAGAAAACAACACATGCCTGTTTTTAAAAATACACACTGAATTAAAGTGTGATAATTTTAAACGTACGAAAAAGTGAATTCTTCATTATTCTGCTATTTTAAAAGTTCTAAACTCAGAAGAAAGATAAAATTAAAAACTACTTGGCAAGTCTTGTCCCACTTATTGTAGACATCAGTAGTATGACTGATAATTTATAAAGACTTGCAATAACAAGGCCAGCAGGCTACAGTACCATTTAAAACAGGTATAAAGGTGCTTAAAACAGTAATTAAGGAATTAAAAAATAAATGTTTGGCTGAAAAATAGAACATCTCTAAGTATACTCACAATTTAACATGAATATGTATTCAGGTTTTGTTGTTCACACATACTTGAACAATTAAGAAAAAATTAAATAAATAAATGGGTCTGTTGTGCTATGAGTATACTGAGCTTGTTTCTTCCCTGCTCTACTTCTGGTGGCATTTAAACAAAAATGATATCCTTTCCTGTCGATATACAGTTTGAAACAATTACATAGTACCATTTCAACGAACAAATGGTTTACTTTAATACAAAAGGAAAAAATGAATCTATTCAGAACTGGAGGGGACTCTACTTGTAGTAACTGAGCCAATCTTGTTTCAAGAAACCAAAGTGTGCTTATTGTAGGCTCATTTGTACAGTCACAGGCTTAGTATGTTCAGCTTGGCAAAAACAAACCCAAATTTTAAAAATAAAATATCCTAAAAGCACTGGAATACAATGCTGTCAATGCTCAGGTCAGTTGTCCAGCACAAACCCACTGAATTACAGACATGGAACCTCTAGCCCTACTTATTTAAATAGGGTTTGCATGGGAACAGTTACTACTGGATTGAGCCCAAGGTTACTTAACCTTTTTGTCTAATTTTGTCCTTAACTGTTGAGATGGGAACTTTTCTTTCACCAGTTCTACATATTGCAGAAATGATCTCAGGCCCAGATAGTTTTTTCAGGAGAAAAGCCGGTCTTTCTAACAGCTTTGTCCACGGTAAGAAGTGAAGAGCTGAAGCATCCTGCCGATCACTGAGGGACCACTTCTCTCAGAGAGGCTAATGCTGCATGTATGCGGACATGCAATCTATTTTCAAAGTCATACCCTGTGAATTCTTCCTGCAACAAAAAAGACAAAGGTATTAACCTTACTTGTGCTACTAATAAAGGAGTACGTGAAAATCTTAAGCAGCCACAAACACTCAGATTCATCTGACTGCCAAAAAAAGTTCCCCCTGTCCCAGGCTATCTTGCAAAGAGGAGAAGGCCCCAATTTACAGAAAGGAAAAGTGCTTGATCAATTCTGAACTTTACCTTTGCTTGAAGCAATAAAGTCTTCCCTCTTGGAACAGTCTGCAGGAGAAAGCAAAATATTAATTTAGAAATTTCTATCCATCTAGCAAAAAAAGAGGAAAACTTAATTTTATAGTTACAAGTTCTGATAGCATTAATATAAATGAGTAAAATTCTTAGTATCAGAAACTGAGTAATTAGTTTTAAAGAGTGGCATCAGCCACTTTCAAATTAAAAATAAATAAATGTATGTACATTTCTGAGCTACACATGCTCTATTCAAACATGAGATCTGAGTTTATGAGACAGGATTTTCATTCCACAATTCCATATCAAATTACCCAAAACTTCAATCTACTTGAAATAAGATGAAAGAACAAGGTGTAACATAATCTGAGTTTTTTAATTTCTGAATAGATTCCCAACAGACTAAGTTTAGACACCTTCTCTTAAGCACTCTTAAATCCACTCCTTCCATTCCCTGAAAACCCTTGTATCTACAGGATCATTGGAAGCCACCCTGTATTAAACCCACACGAGAGAGAGACCACTGCCAGCAGCTTTCCAAAGTCTCAGCACCTTTCCATACTTTTTTTTCCCACATACGTGAAGAAGCCAAGGACTGGATCTGACCTTCTACATGTAGATCAAAATTCTGTATTTATTTATTTCATATGGCATAGCAGAATACAACATTATTTTTTAAGACTTCACAAAGACAATATAAAACACGGATAAAATGTAAAACCTTAAAGTCACATTGTCTGGGGTACAATGCAAAGTAGCCTCCTTGTGCTGCACCCTGGGCAACGTGATTTGTCATAGCTAAATAATCTACACATTCCAGCTGCTGGGCCTCACAAGGATTTCCCAGCAAGAAGAATCAGCACAAACACCAAAACTAAAAATGGCTCTTTTCAGAACCAACTGACAAAGGACACAAGAGATGTCCTGAAAATTTTGCAACTTAATGTGGAAAGTATGAGCAGTTCTATAGCTGACTAGTTACTCAGGCTTCTGAACAAACTTTCAGTGGATGTTGTTCTATTACAAGAAACTCACTGCGCTGATGAAACTCAATTTCAAAACACATATAGAGGAAATGCTCTACCACATACAGCCATTCCACTATTCCAAATCAAATTGTTACTATACACTGCTAAAACATCCTAGAAAGCAGATCTTTGCAGAATTACTGGCATATATAGTGTGTGTTTTAAGGATGTTGCCGTTATGTGCCATCAAACTGGAACCAACTTACAGTGACCCCAACAGGGCTTTCAAGGTAAGTGAGATGTTTAAGGAGTGGCTTTACTAGTTGCAAACCCCCAGTGAGTTTCCATGGCTGGGCAGGAGTTTGAACCCAGGATATCAAATCAATTTTTCTTTTTTAAAAAGAAATAGAAATAAATGAGCAGGTTAAATAATTATCTGTTTGTCATGTTCTGAACAAATTCATGCTGAGCTGTCATGAAGTTGCTGAAGAACAAGGTTATTCCTTAGAAACAGGCCTGAAGAGCATTAATTAAAGCTGTTTTAGGATCTTAAGTGTAGCACTGCAGAGAAATGTGGTAAAGAGGAGGATAGGATAGAGAAAGTGTATGAAGATTTTCACTTTTTACATAACTGAATCTTTAAGGTCCCACTGGGCTTGCAAATGTTACCAGAAATGTTTGGCATGCAATAAGTAAATATGAGTCGCAAATAAGAAACATAAATAGTATGGAGATTACTCACAGGTTTCCCCATTAAACGAAGGCTGAGAGACCTACTTTGCAAGCCTTTAACTAAATGATATCTGCTCCATTCACATGCACCGCTACTCTTGTCTGTTCTTTCTTTCTTGTTTCCTTTGAAAAAGACTAGCAAACAGTCCTAGATATAACCTCGCTATGTGAGTCTTTTTTGAGGTCCACTACTGCTTACACTTGGCAAGCATTAAGTGGCAAAACAAACCCCCAATCAAAAACAATTTCAAAATAAACTATATTATTACCTGTGGGTTTTCTAGTAAAAGGCAGCCAAGTTCATAGCAAGCGTATGGCTGAATATACAAGTTGTTTTGGCGACATAGTTCATCTTTAAGGGCTCTCTGAAAGAACTATGGAAGAGAATTAGCATACTCAACACACAGCAAGTTTCCAAGACAAATTATGCCTTTGCTTTAGACACCAAAGTTTTCATTAAAGATTGCAGCAATCTTTTTTCCCCAAATATGTTTTAATTATTTTTCCCATGAGTTCTCTATAATGAAACAGTAGTCGTGCCCCGCTTAACGATTACCCCGTATAACGCCAAATCCGCTTCACAACGATGTTTTTGCGATCCCAATTGCGACCGCAAAACGATGTTATAAATGGGGTTTTTTCGCTTTGCAAAGATCGGTTCCCTGCTTCAGGAACTGATTCTTCGCATTACGACAATCAAAACAGCTGATTGTCGGGTTTTCAAAATAGCCACCGGCTGCTCAAAATGGCTCCCCGCTGTGTTTTTGGACAGATTCCTCCTCTACAGGCACTGAAAATGGCTGGCCCTATGGAGGATCTTCGCTGGATGGTGAGCTATTCAGCCCATTGGAATGCATTAACCAGGTTTTAATGCGTTTCAATGGTTTTTTTTTATTTCGCCTTACGATGTTTTCGCTCTGCAGCGATTTTGCTGGAACGGATTAACGTTGTTAAGCGAGGCACCACTGTACTACTTTTTGATTTGTCTGTTAGTTTTACAAAACTAACTTATCATTTTAAATCAAAATACCACTGAGGGAAAAAGTTACTTGTGGTTAGGGATGCCTGGGTCTTTAGAAAAGGAAGCAACCTTACAGCACGTGAGAATATCTTGTTCCCTTGGCAGCAGCTCCATGGAGTTAAAGCAAGAGTTCCTTCCCATCACTTTTTAGCTAATCCTTTTAACCACAGACCAAAATCCTTAAAGTGGGAGACCTTCTGTGTAGAAAGCTTGTGCTCTATCACATCTTTCTCTGGAGTCCAGAGCAACTGAGCTCTGCCTCTGGTTTCTGCCATAATAGATTTATCAGCCTCCACCTTGCAAATCATTATCAGAAAATTGTAATATAGAGATGTTAATAATGTTTATTAAGATTTAAAAACAATGGTGGAATGGAGGTTTCTGTATCTGGGGTCCATCAAACTAAAATATCAGGAGAGCAATTAAATTGTCACTGAAAAAGCAATGCTGTTATTTCACGAAATACATTTCTTCATTCCTTGAAAATTAGTTATTCAGTTCCCTCTGTAGAAAAAAAAACTTGGGAACATGCAAGAAATTGCTGGAAAAAAGAATGCAGGGGACAACTATTTTGTTTCTCACCTCTGTCCCCTCCACAAGTTAAAGACAGTTTCCTTTGAGTCCACAGGCAAACTACAAACCTACTTCTCGCCTGGATTATCACTTAATCAATTAGCTAGGAATGTTACCAGGCTTTTTTCAATATGGTAATTTCTCTGCATCATACACTCTGCTTCCAATCATGCGGTTTGCCCTTAAAGAGATTGTAAAATATGTTGCCACATTTCCCCCTCTCTGCTCTTATTCTGCCGCTTCATATAAAAAAAACATACCTGAATAGCATCTTCTGAATTTCCTAAGCATTTATGTATGGCACCAAGCAACAAATTCTTCAAACCAACAGCAGTAGAATCATCAACTTCTTGGCAGGCTTTATCAGGACACAAAACAAGATTAATTGAATTCCATAATCATCCATGTAAGAGCTACCATGCTCAAAACTGATACCATCCCGCTCAAGGAGAGAAACCTCCTAAAAAAAGTTTGAACCCCACTGCTGACTTCTTCACCTTCAATTTCTTTCTAGTCCTGTCAATATTTGTTCAAAGAAGCTAGTCCATCTCCTTCAGGTGGCCAGTTACTGCTAGCATTTTTAGCTAGGTATTTTAATTATTTTCCCATTATACGAGCATCCGAAATAGTTTTCTTCTATTCACAGCCCAGTGTGCAAGTTATACCCACTAGTGTTCTTGTGAATGTAACTAGGTTGCATTGCTCTAATCCCTAACCAACTTTCATGGGTAAGCAGAGTTTTCCACTGAGAGATGGAGGATCTAACTGTATAATTTGGCCAAAAGTGCTATCAAGATTTTTCCCCCCAGGAAGTGGTGGCAGAACAGTAATTAAACATCAGATTATAGTTTGAAATTATTCCGTGTGAGAGCTGTTGGGAAGTGGAGCCAGAGAAACAAGAAGGGAAGGGTGAGTCAGAGTGTAGAGCAGCAGTCCTCAAACTTTTTCGGTCTGCTGACCGGCTGAGGATGGTGTGGCATCCCCCACGCTTGCATGCATGTGCTTGTCTGGGCGTGCTGATGCTTGTGCGCATGCGTAAACAGCGGTGTGGCGCTCGCACAGGCATGCTGGAGCGCGCGCGCAGCCGCAAATGGGCTGTGCGGTAGTGAGTGCATGCAGGGGGGGTTGTCTTGGCAGACCGGTCCAGTTCAGGCCCGGGGGTTGGGGACCTCTGGTCTAGAGAGTTCAGTCAGAGAGACAGAGAAGAGAGAAAGAGTTTGGGGGTTTGAGGCAGAGAGTGTTTAAGGAGTGATTAGTCAGAGTGGCCTGTATTAATTAAGATAGAAGAGGTTTAAGTAAAATACTGAAGCTTTGTGTAACTTTAAGAATGTGCTTAAAAACTATTCCTAAAACATGTAACCAATAAACCTGTTTCTGTTTAAAAGTTCTATACTGAATGACCCTCAGTCTTTCATAGGAAATATAGGTTGATAAAGAGATCAACTGGTGGCAGCGTGTTAAATGGCATGTTGGGATACTGGTGTGAGCTCTGTGTTTGGTGAAACAAGCAGGGGCCACAGTGTAAACATCACATCCCGTTCCTTGAGTTAAAATAAAAAATTCAAGAATGTCTACTTTGCCAGTTATTATATGAGTAAATCATTTGCTGCCTTCAAATTGGCTCAAATTGCTGACATTAATGACAGAACAGTGAGAACAAATGCATTGTCTGATAGAACAAATAACACTGTGTGCAAAAGAGAAGACAGAAATCACATCATGTACCTTGACTCATGTGCTGTAGGTTTGTAAACGAACAGTTTGGAAGAGCCTTCCATAAATACAATACTTCAATGGAGGCCAAAACGCAGAGCTGTTTAGTTGGTTTTTGCTTCCTGAATCTATCTGCCTGCAAAGAATAAAAATTGTGTTTTATTTTCCACATAAATTAACATCTACTTTTTCTAGAAATTAAAGGTCTCACACTGTGTAAGTAAACAAACTGAAGAATTTAAAAAAATTAGCAAAGAACAGCAGATTTAGAAAGCTGAAATATCAGAGCCCCAAGTGGGGAACAACCACAAAATGTGATGTGTCCCCATGGGGGCTCAGATGTGCTGTTATTTAGAGCCCCCTCTAGTAGGAGTAAAGAATGAGACTACTGCAAACTGAAATATTCCTTGAGGTCCTAGATACAGTGGTGCCCCGCATAGCGACGATAATCCGTTCCGGATATATCGTCGCTATCCGGAAACATCGCTATACGGAAAGAAAAACCCCACAGGAACACATTCAACTCTGTTTAATGCGTTCCTATGGGGGATAAACTCACCTCCATAGGGCCACCATTTTTGCCGCCTCGGTAAGCGAGGAATCGGCACGAAAACGCTGCGGGTGGCCATTTTCTTCTTCCGGTGGCCATTTTGGAACCACCGATCAGCTGTTTCCCAAACATCTCAATGTGAAGATCAGTAAGCGAAACGCTTACCAATCATCGCAATGCGATGTTTTGCCTATTAAAACATCGCAATGCGATCGCAAAAACGATCGCAAAATCCGCATCGCTATGCGGATTTGTCGTTAAACGGTGCGCTCGTTAAGCGAGGCACCACTGTACAAGTCTTTTTACTTTTCCACCTTCCTTCGACCCTCTTTAGTAGGAATGGGTACAGAATCTGTGCTGGCAATGTAACTCTAAGTCCAAGCACCAGATTTAAGTTGTAATCAGGCACTGTGCACATAAGGGTCATCTGCTCCTGTTCTGTTTTCTATTTCAATTTGTATTTAATGTGTATTTATTCCATTTCTATAGCTTAGAAAGTACGAATGGGGTTCTTGGTTGTCCACCCATGTGAGATGGCATCTGTTGCCCACAGGATTGTTTAAAGTAAGAACCTGCCTCTCAAAGTGGAGAGATAAGCCAATGCAAAGATGCCCTTCTCTCCATAGGAAGATGAATGCACACATATTTTTCAACTTTGGATGCACACAATGGGGTGAGTCAAAGTGAACAGCAGTTTATTTCTACATAGAGGCTGAAATCCTGTTGCACATTTATGCGAATGGTGTAATTTTTAGATGAGAATTGCCCTAAATTAAGGACTCTCTATATGAATTATCTGTTGCACACCAAATCCTGCTACAGTACTTAGTATGCAACAGATAATGACTGAGATTTCTTAACTTTGGACAATTTGCTTCTAAAAGCTGCATTATTTCTGTAACTATGTAACAGGATTTCATACAGAGAATGCAAACACTATGCATGTAAAATCAAGGGCATTTCCCTGTATCAACTAAATGAGAATTTTATAACAGGAAGAATCTACTGAGTCGATAAAAACTCTCATTTCTGCAATGAAATCCACATTAAGTGGGGTGTGAAAAAAACAAGAATAGGGCCCCTAACTCCAAGCAGAACACTCATGGGGGGAGGCAATGAGATGAAGTTGCCATAGGAGAAAGATGCTTTGATTCCTAGGAGGTTGTACCTGTCCAATGGCCCCATTTACCATAAGTGTAAAATATCAACAGCTGGGTTCCTATTGGTAGTGAACCACCACCCGCCCAAAATTAATCCCTGAGCAGGATCTTCCAGGCTGGGGGTGTTCTTGGAACAACTAAATCAAAAGCCCCTCCATTTCAGAAGAGCTTCAAGATTATTCCTCTCTTGAACTAGCATAACTGAATTTTTCCTTATGATCCAACTTGGGAACAATGGTTAAAAGAAAGCCCTCCCCTTCTTCATACTTCTCAGAATGGTCAACTCAAATTCTCCCCTTCAGAAACTTGGGCCCCGCCAAGGCATGAAGCCTGTCACCTGGGCCTTCTCTCCAGGTGAGCATAATGTAGGTATTTATACAGCCTGGCTCCTGGAGGTAGGATTTCTAGAAAGGAGAATTATGGAATTTGTAGTCCAAAAATATCCAAACTGCACATTCCTATCTGTTGCCACAAATTAGAGTTCTGAAAATCCCAACTAGCAATCCTTGAGTTATTACTTGCCAGACTGTCTACACCTTTAGGAGGGGTTAAGAAAAGCACTTATCATAAGCAGCACTGCTTGAAAAAAAGTTTAACGAAACATGAAGGACCCTCATTATCACTACACAAACACAATTCAGTTTATTTTAAGCAAACCTTTTTGACAGAAAACTGTTCAATTTGATTGTTTTTTCTTTTAAAGAGCTTCTGAACTTCCTTGAAAACAATCTGTGCACCATTCACATCACCAGTAGCTCCTTGACACACTGTAATAAAGTAATTAAAAAGTTTATGTCAATCTCAGGACAAGAGAGACTGACCTCCCCCTCAATGGCCACTCCATATATTTACTATACACCTACATAACTTTAAGAATTACAGCCTAAATGTTCTTGCTTTCCTTTCTTTTTATATATTTTTGTATCTAGTGGCTTGTAAGCCCTGCAGGCAAATTCTATACTGTTTATTTAATTTTATTCTTTGAATGGTCCCTGGAAAGTTTTGGGTACCTTGTAAATGAAATAACAGTAGCAATAAATATGGAAATGCAAACAAGGCATCATGCAAGTAAAATAATAATCCATACTCACAATTTTGACCTGATTAATAGTAAATAACAGATGCACATCAGGCATGGCACTTTCATATCTTTTTGAGTGCATGCATTTCCACAGCCACAATTTTGGGACTTGTCAAAAAATTAAAGTCCTTAGAGGAGTTTCGCAGTCCTCTTGGACCTATGATGTTGCTATGAAGACAACGGTAGTCTCCCCATTCACTAGGCTGCATGAAGGGTAACTCTCAAAACACTACCAGCCCAATAATGCCTTGTGGTTCCTCTAGAACTTAGCTCCTTCCAGCAACTTCCTCCATATTCACAGCAACATCATCTGTCCAAGAGAGGTGTTGGATGTAGCTAACTGAAATCTCCTGTAAACACTTTAAATTTTTGGCAACCGTTCTCATAAAATCCTGGCTTGGGAAATTCTTACTAAATTAATAATATTTAATTTTATTATTATTCAAAAATACCAGACACAGTCGATCAAAATTATAAAAAACACTGACTGGAATTAGATACAAGTTTTAACCAAAAACCTAAGTATCAGCGTAGTATGTATGCTGTTGCTAATATTACCATTTTTGTAGCTCTGATGGTGTGATTTCTGAGACCTGCAACTTTTCTTATAGTACTGTGTGAAATTTCTTGATATTGTTACCAAAGCCCCAATGACTGTGAGGACCACTAAAGTGTGTTTCAGCCACAAGCAAGATGTTTTGATTGCCAGATCTCTATATTTTGTTAATTTTTCCAATTCTTTATTTTCAGCTCTGGCATCCCCTGGAATAACAATGTCAATGATCCAGACATTTCTTCATTCTATGACCACTATGGTATGATATGTTCAAGGTATCTATCAGTTTGGATCCCGAAATCCTAAAAGATCTTGCCATCAGCATTTTCTGACACTTTCACTACCTGATGTTCTAATGGGGTTTTGGAGGCTGGCAAATTGTATTTTTATATAATGACCAGTGCACTAATTTTGCCACTCTTATCATGTCTAATTCTGTAATCTATTTCTGCAGTCTTCCGATATTCGCAGATGAGATGTAACAATTTCATCTTTTTCATGGCAGAGTCAACATTTGCTGTTAGCACTAATTCCTTCAATCTTAGATTTCAACACATTAGTTTGAAATGCTTGTTCTTGTGCAGCAAAAATCAAACCTTCATTTTCTTTCTTAATGGTCACCAGTTTTAGCCATGACTGTGCTGAATTATGATCATGCTTTCCATCAGTATTTCTCAGGTGTTGACCATGTAGTGGTTTATTTTTCCAATTGTTTAATTTATTTTAAAATTGTTGTTTCTTATATTGAGCCTTTGTTTCTGCTGTTTTCAAAATATTCTCCATTTTCACTGCCTTAAGTTATTTTTCTCTAAATGAACCTATATAATTTAGGCTTATTTTTCCCTCCTCTACTAGCTGCTTTATTTGCAGTATTATTATTAATTCATTAGGAATTCCCCCAGCCAGAATTATGAGAACGGTTGTCAAAAATTTAAAGTGCTTCTGGGACCTGTAGTCAAAAAGATACAAAATATCTAAGCCAAATAATATTTTTGTCACTGTTATGTTCACTTTGTGATCTGTTAATCCACATATATTTTTTTCACTCAAACCATACAAAAATCAATGCATTCATGCACTCATTCATTTACAGTCAAGCATTCTCTCTGTATATATAAAACAATACTTCCCTGCTGTTAAATAAGCATAGTAGCACTGAGACCATCTTGATTCATTTTTAAGACGCTCAAAAGACTCAAATGCATCCTTGAAGTTCATTTCAATCATGCTACACCATCCTATTAGAACAAATAAAACATTTTTAAGCGACAGCTGCCATAATAACAGGAAAAATCCTTCATAAAGTTGCCTTATTAAGAATCAAACTAATTACTTACTGAGAACTCAGAATTATACAGATACTAGTAACAGTGGTTCAGAGTAGAAAGAAAAATATTTATTTATTTATACACATACACTTACCAATTTCATACAGGCAGACATGTTGAATCTCTCTCTGATCAGTGGCAAGTTCCAAAGCAGTATGAAAGGATGTCAAGGCACTGTTGATTTGACACTATGAAAAAAAATCAAAATACCAATAAAATAAAAAAAAATCATTCCATTAAAAGCTAACTAGTACATGTTAAAAGTGATGAAATGTAACTATAATGATTGTGTCTGCCTAGGATAATACTGTACCATAGTTTCATGGGCAGAATGCCTGCAGGGGGCATCATTCAATCAGTAATAAATGTGCTCTAGGATTGAATACACACAGAAGTGTGTTCTGTTTTGTTTATGCATTTCTGAAGGTGCCAATAAAAGTTTCAAGGAAATTCATTCTAGCAGCTCTCTCTACCTTGGTACCCTCCAGAGGTGTTGGACTACATTTCCCAGATATCCCACCATAGCTGGTTAGGGATTTCAAAGTTACCCTCTGATACGTTTGTAAAGAACTAGACCAGTATCCAAGAATCACTCAGTGTAATCAAACTTTTAAATTAGAATTTCAATGGGTAATGTTACTTCATGGTCTATGGCAAAGAAGTTTAGGGATGTACTAGCCTTTACACTCTTCAAAGGGCAAAGAATGTAAACATAGTTGCAGGTGTAAGGAACAAGATTTGTCACTCTGTGGAGCAAAAGGCTCCAAAAACACTCAATCAGTCTGGAATGAGGTATAATTTGAAATCCTACAGAATGCAACCTATTGGCGAAAATCATTGCCTCCCGTTGTATAAATTATGACTCAGGAAGGGTAATAATGTCACTTGTAGGGGCAGATTTTTTGGTAAACACTTCCTTCTTCAGTCCTGTAGCTCACATGCCTTCCCTACAATGAAATGAATTACCTGTGAGTTGAAGAAGCCACAAGAGGAAAGAAGCAAGTCTTTAATTAGCAAAAATCTCCTCCTGCTGGTGATGCCATTACTCTTCTCCAAGTGCAACTTAGCAACAGGACTTTGGCCACTGTTTGGTTTAACAGAAGGTACTCATATATTTCCGAATTCCAATGAATCTTTCTCTCTAGGCTATTGTCTGTCCACTCAGAGGCTTTCACGCCTCTCCAGAGCCAAGCCAGGTATCTATGGGAACACTGACATTTCACATGTACCCCATTTCCTGAAGTATTACATAATGGTCAACACTGTAAGCTAAATCTAGTGTTGCCAGGCAGATGACAGTACAATGGTATTTTCTTCCTCTCCCCTTCCGCGTTGCAAAGCATCTCAGCCTGAATTCCATTTTCATATCCCACTAAGTAGGATATTTCACATATTATAATATTATTTGAACACCCCAGGTCTGCACATGACAGCCATCACATAAGTGACTAACAGCTGATTGTATGAAGCTAATATAAAACAAAGGTTTTGTCTCATATGACGTAATGCAGTTACCAATGTAAGCTGACTTGTATTAGTATCATTTTATTTTTGCTAGTTGTATACACTTTCATTCATTTCTTCTCCCACAAGGGGGCAGGAGGATATTGGATGGATAGGAACTTAGGTTATCAAAAGAAGAGTAGCTAGGTATGAGAAATGCCACCTTTTTGTCCCAGGAAACATTGTTTTGAAGTGCACAACCATCTCCATGTTTTGTAGATTCTCCGCAACCATGAACACTAGAAATATGCATTATATTTAAAATAAATAAATTGGTTTTGCCATGGATAACGGAACAGATATTAATGATCAGCTAAGTCAAGAGATTTTTCCCCCAAATACACTTTTCCCTCTAGATCTGGCAATGTGTTATTGGAATATCTTTGATTCAATACATCTTCCAGAATCACCTGGAAAAAAACCACAGTACCTCTAAACGCTGAATTCTTCCCTTAAAGAACATAAAAAGAGATGAGTTTGGATAAGCAGATTCCTTTCTTTGAAGAATCTCTTTAGCCTCTTGCAATCCTGCTTTTGTATCACTGCCATCCAAAGCAAAAAAAGGACGAACCACAGTATGGTACCACAGCAAAGCCAATCTAAAAGGACAGAGAAAAAGATAATGACATTAACTAATTGTTTAATCCAGCAATGCTGAAACATGATTAGAGTTCCAGTCTCTCTATCATACATGTTGGACCAACACTGTGTTAATTCCTTAATTTATACCTTAATTGCTGTAAGAAGGAAGGATAGTTGGAATTTTAAAATTGTCTTTCTTATGCCGTTAAGATTACAGGTGAAAAAGAAGCACAGATGCTACTGAAGATGTTTCAGACATTTGTACTGTTATTGAACACCTGGGGGAAGAAGCAAACTATCCCAAACCATCACATTTAGAAGTGGCTTATAAGTTGTTCACATGAAAAGCTACACTGAAAACTTTCGAAACACTGAGCACAAGGAGATACAGGACAATGGGCTAACGCTGTAGTTCCCAACCTTGGGTAACCCAGGTGTTCTTGGATTGCAATTCCCTGAAACCCCAGCCAGCACACCTAGTGATGAAGGCTTCTGAGAATCATAGTCCAATAACAGCTGTCTTGCCTGAGGTTGGGAACCACTGAGCTAAAGCAACAAGGAGCACAAAGCAATTCATTAACAGATTCCTCTGATGACTGCAGAGTACAGTTTGATATGGAGACTGATGTGCTGTCCTTGGTGTGGGTGTGTGTGTGTCTTTTTCATATCTGAAAAAGGCCAGCTTTCAATATGTATCTCTTGCACATATAAGCTACCTCTTTGCTGAAGTGAACTGGAGCACAAACAGGGTTCTGGAATGAGTCAGGATTAGACATGGGAGATTCATCTTCATCTCCCCTGGGAGACGAAGACAAATCTCCCATGTCTGGCAGTATTTCCAAACATGACCGAAACAGGAAGCAAGGTGCTCTTCGTGCAAATAAAGTGGAAGAGGAAAACTTAGTGCTACAAACTGGAGTTCCAACGCAAGGTAAGATGGTCTCCAATTCCCCAAATTACCAAATCAGCACCTTAAACAGAAACAAGTCAGTGACATATTCCAGGGTTATAGCTCAAAAGAAAGGAAACTGCTCCAGTTACACAGCCATCTCTAAACAATTGCTAAACACATAACATACAAAACAAGTGTTTCTACAGAGGGTAAATGTATTCATTTTAATGGATTTCCATCCACTGGTATAAAAAGGACAAAGGTCACATCAAGTGGAAGATTTGTTGAAACTGCACAATATATGAAACATGCCATATTGTTATGACATTTATTTCAACAGAAAAGGAAGGCTACATTTGTCTACAGTTTCCATGAATGCTCAAGTCACCTTCTACATTGATATGAATACAGAAGCCTGTAGGTAGCACATTTGTTGGGCACAAACTGCTCAGGGCTCTAAATTCCAGCCCCTCGTGTGCTGACAGAAATGTTCACCACTGGGGCACAAAAGAGCATACAAATATTTTTAAAATCTCAACCTAAAAATTGACATTCTGCATAAGCTTACTGAAGCCTAGTAAAAGTTTCAAATTATAAAACGCTCTGAAATATTTTTCAACAACATCTGCAATGAGGGTAAAGATTTGTTTTCAGAAAGAATTAACCAAGGCTACAACAAAGGGGCCTTCCCCTGGACTATCTGTTTTCAAGGAAATCAACCCTGAGTGCTCACTGGAAGGACAGATCCTGAAGCTGTGGCTCCAATACTTTGGCCATCTCATGAGAAGAGAAGACTCCCTGGAAAAGACCCTGATGTTGGGAAAGTGTAAGAGCAAGAGGAGAAGGGGACGACAGAAGACGAGATAATTGGATAGTGTTATCGAAGCTACCAACATGACTTTGACCCAATTCCAGGAGGCAGTGGGAGACAGGGGTGCCTGGCATGCTCTGGTCCATGGGGTCATGAAGAGTCGGACGTGACTTAACAACTAAACAACAACAACAAGCCTCCCCTGAATTACAGGCCTCTTACCAAAATCTCCAGAATTATGAACCATTGTTCTTTATTTCACCTGCTGACATTTCATTTATAAAAGAGAGGAAAAAATGGTGTTTCCTAACTTTAGTTGACTTGCAGTTTACTTACTGTCAGTACTATTACCAAAGCATTGCAATATAGCTACTCACGTAGCTAAAGGGGCCTTCATGTCCTTACTTTCACTTGCATACATCAGTGAAGAAAGCCCCTGCAGGCGGTCTCCAGGAAAACCCAGCAAGTTGATGATTTTGAGCAGGTTTGGGGGCACCATGGATATGCAAAGATGAAAAAGTCCGTATCCAAAGCTAACAGCACCTTTCAGTCTGTTTAGCGACTCCTCCGTTACACCTTCTGCAGTAATATGATTATCGTTTGCAGCATCAGAAGTCAAGGATTCCTGAGTGATCTTCTTCTGATACAATTCCTGAAGTGTATTAATGTCTGTATAGCACTTATTGTAGATTTTCCAAGCTTTTCTAAGGATCCACCCACCTTTTATATAAGCTATGGAGGGGAAAAGAAGTCAGAGAGATCAGTGAAAGAGAAGGCCTTTTCCATACAGAAAAAAATACCCAGAAATACAGTAATTTGTAAACATGGAATAGGACACTCTTTGTTAAAAGATTTTCCAACTTACATGAGTACTTAAAAGCACCTATAAGATTTTGAAAACAGAAAAGACAGGAGGAATTAAACAGTTTGTAAATATATGGCATCCTGGAGGAGATTGTAACTGCCATAGAAAGGATCCTAATGTTTGTTTGTTTGTTTGTTTATTGCATTTATATCCCACCCATCTGATCAATTGACCACCCTGTTGTGCCATGGGCCCCAAAATCATTATGAGGAACATAAAGGGTCAGAAAAGGAAGAATATATAATGTGCAAGCTTGTTATAGCAGCAGTTCTTAAAATCATTCTCTGTCCAAATTACATTGAAAAAGGCTTTAAAGGCTGAATGAAAAAGATTCTTCTAGAACTACAAAGCTATGGAAAATGAAGCTGTTCTATTGAAACATTCAGGCCAGCAGCCATGATTCAGCTTCCTGAAGAAGCTAAAGTTACAGCAAGACTGTGCAGTTCAACCACTTTCTGCTGCATTGCATTTTTGGCTCTCATGTGGTTTACCACAAGGCAAGTGTTTATGCAATTTTTCAGCAATGCTGCAGTAAGGAGGAGGGGCATGCATGCAAAGTCCTCATCACCTTGGTCTGCCTATACACTGGGAGCTGTAGTTCAAACAACGAATATTTACTACCGATCAATAAGGTAAAACACTCCCTCCAGATGTAGCTATCTAGCTGGTAGCCATGTTAGTCTGTAGCAGTTCAAAAGAAACCAGAAGTCTTGTAGCATCTTTAAGACTTAACTAGTTTTTGTTTTTTATTCATCTGAAGAAATATACTTGTACACACAAAAGCTGATGAAAAATAAAAACTGGTTCGTCTTAAAGGTGTTACAAGACCTCTGATTTCCTTCCAGATATAGTGTTATTGTTACAACACCAAATGAAACAAGAAAGAGTCTTTGGCATATTCACACCTAAAAGTATTCGTTGGCATAAGCTTTCCTGGACTGTTAGTCCATGTTAGTCTTTAAAATGCTGAACGACTCTTTGGTCACTACCCTACTGCTAGTCCCAATCAAGAGTAGGCTCACTGAATCAACTGCTGAATGGTGTGCCAATACCTATGTGAATGCCACTGAATAAGTGAGTCTACTCTAGTTAGAACTGGTTACAGGATACTGATCTCTGTTGGTTGCTGCAGCTGACTAATAAGGCTGCCCTGTGGAAATCACACACTGATTTCATCAGCTGAGTTAACAGAGATCAGCAATCCATTGGCAATAGCATGTGATAATCTAAAAATCTACTGAAATCATAAACAAAGCACAATTCAATGTACACAAGAAAGGGGAAGGCTGGCTGACTTAACAAGAAAGTACAAGAAGGTAAACTGTGTGTGTTGTCAACAAGACTTAAGACTTCCCTCTAAAGAAGGAAAACCCTACAGAACTTATGAGTACAGAATAGATATGGGGGTATTTGTATATGAATATCCCCCCCCCCACAGATGCAGATAACGAGGGTCCAGCCCCCTGGGGCCAGACCGACCACTCGATTCCGCCGCTGCTGCCAGCTCCGCGGAGCCTTCCTACTGCTCCATTGCTCGTGATGGATTATTAGCCAGTCTGCGACCTGGCAAAGAGGCTTGTCATCCCACCTTCTGCCAGGACTGTCTAATCTACTGTGAACAACAGAGCAAAAGGAAGGATCCGCGGAGCCAGCAGCAGCAGCGGAATCATGAGTGGCTGGACCCTGATTATTTGCACCTGTGGGGATATTCGTATACGAATACCCCCATCTCTAGTACAGAACTGCCAAATAAACAGCATGGAAAAAATGTGCTTCTTAATATTGGCATCATAGCTCACCTGACAACTCTTGTTTTACAAACGAGAGCACAGCAAGGTAAACTTGACAATCTGCTACAATGATCTGTCTCTGCAATCGATCAATCATGGATGGGGCGGCCTTTCGTCCATCAACCTGTTTGGAAGCCACAAAAGAAGGGTAGAAATACCATGAGAATGCCCAGCTCTCCTAATACCTGCAATGTATATTCAGCTGAAATGAGGGTTCTAAGTCAACTTCAGAAAACATATACAAGGCAAAATATTATATAGAAAGATGAGATAAATAAAAAATTAAAAGCATGTTTCTGCACCCACTCACTCAACTGCTCTAGCGAATTCTCTAAGAATTCTCTAAGATCATCAAAATGTTCCTGAACTGAACAGCACACTGGGGACAATTCCTGCCTGAGCATAAATCATAGAGAATGGGTGCAAGGTACACTAGTATTACAAGTTTAAAGAATCCTCTGTAGGAACAACTTATCCACGGTATTCTACAAGACACCACAAATAACTTCAATGCATTCCAATGGGGGAACCGTGTTTCACTTAGCGATGTTTCCTATGGCGATTTTTGCTTAAGGACGGTAATCCGTTCCCATTGGAACGGATTATCCGGTTTTCAATGCATTTCTATGGGAAATGGTGTTTTGCTTAGCGATGTTTTCCCATAGAGATGTTTTTTTGGGAACCAATTAACATCATTAAGCAAGGCACCACTGTAAACTCGTGCCCCGCTTTACGATTACCCCATTTAATGATGAATCCGCTTGACCGTGAGGTTTTTGCGATTGCTTTTGCAATCGCAAAACGATGGTCTGAATGGGTTTTTTCCACTTTGCGATGATCGGTGTAACGGGTAGCCATGAACTCACCTGTCCGTCACAGCTGGGCAGTGAATCATCAGCCAATGGTGTGACGGAGGGGGGAACTGAAGGGGAGGAGCTGGTATAAAAAGGGGAGGGGAAGAATGTGTGAGGTAGATTGATAGAGTGTGAGAGTGAGATCTGGAGAGATCTAGTTTGAGAGAGTTTGTTAGAGGCCTGTGTGCCTGGGGGTCAGTGAGGGAAAGTCTATGTGTATAAGTGAATAAGAGATTGATTTACATCGTGATTAACTTCCTGTGATTTATCTATTTTATTTTGTAACCAATAAACCAAGTTTTATTTTTGAAAGAAACCCTTGTCCTTTTTATTTAAAGGAAAGGCTGGTGGCAGCAAGAGTGTTTAGTGGCGTGGTGGGCATTCTGAGAGGCCTGAGTAGGAGGTGACCTCAGAGGGGCTCAGCCACGTTACAATCGGTTCCCTGCTTCGGGAACCGATTTTCGCTTTACGACGATCAAAAACAGCTGATTGTCGGGTTTCAAAATGGCCTTCGGCTGAAGAAAATGGCCCCCTGCTGTGCTTAGGGACGGATTCCTCGTTGCACAGGCACCGAAAATGGCCGCCCCATGGAGGATCTTCGCTGGACGGTGAATTTTCAGCCCATTGGAACGCATTGAACGGGTTTTAATGCATTTCAATGGGCTTTTTTATTTCACTTTACGACATTTTCACTCTACAGCGATTTCGCTGAAATGAATTAACGTCGTAAAACAAGGCACCACTGTATCTTGTTTTGAAATTGGAAATGTTTTGGATGCCCATGTTACTGATGCATGTGTAAGCAGGGGAAAAAGAACAACCACACACATCTCCATTGTGGTCCTTCTACTTGTCATTGCTCTAATGAAAGAGGAGCAGAAGCCTGCTTTCAACTCCCACACAGCTAAGCAATGAGCTTAGTTTTCCTCCTTATTCCTTCCACTGTATGTCTTACATTTTAGACTGTAAGCCTGATGCAAGGGACTGTTTTATCACATCATAGGTAATTTGCTCCAAACCCCCCCCTTTTTTTTTTTTGCTCAAGTGGGAGGTACAGATGCAATATATAATGAAGAAATAATAAGTGTATTACCATAAGGATCTATCTGATGGATCACATGTGTATTCAGTCTTCTGTTCTAGCACAGAAGCTGGTTTATTCACTATTCGGCTTCTCTATTCTAACTGCAGAAACATGGGAGAATGTTTGGTCCATGTCTGACACTCAGGGGGCTGCAATCTTCGCTTTGTATCATTCTGTCAGTCCACAGAAAGAACTATGAAGTATCAAATATCCTAATGGTCAGTAGCAGCAGAACAAAGCTGAAATAAAACATGAAATCTGGCTCGCCTTTTACCTGTATTAGTATAAGCAGATTTTTATTATGTATCTCCTGTGTAATACCTAATGTTTCAACAGAGCCCAGTTTTACATATACAGTATATGTTCATGGGTAGGCTCCAGGGCGAGAGCTTTCCAGCATACAAGACACAGCTTAGTTCTATCCAAGTCGACTCAGAAATTTAAATAATGTATATCCTGGTCTTCAAAAATTCAGAGGCATTTAAAGATCTGGATATTTACTTTAAATGCCCTCCCCCCCCATCCCAGGTTATAGATAACAATGAGGGTTCTCTGCACAGTCCTGAAGAAATAAGGTCTTTCAACCCTGAGCAAGAAAATATCAGTGACCATAGAGAAACACAGCGCAGGAGGAAGAGGTGATTTGCTGAATATATTCATGCACTGAATTGGAAACTGGTTCTTTCATTCAAGATTTAAGGAAATAGACTGTACTAATAATATTTACAGGAGAAGACAGGAGGGCCTGGCATGCTCTGGTCCATGGGGTCACAAAGAGTCGGACACAACTAAACGCTAAACAACAAAATAATATTTACATATGTTCTTTTTAAAATATATGAAATGTGTCATCTTTTTTACAGTTATCAGATTATGCTACTAGCTTACAAAAAAATAATCTGAACATTACAGGTTACATAGCAAAGAATAGGAAATGAAGACCTACCCCTTATATTTCCTTTAGAAAATACATGGAATAGTAAATCTAAACAAACTGCCCAGACTTTATATACTCAGCATTAATAATGTAGAATGTTCTCAGAGGAAGCCTAAGCTTAAATTATTTATAGACAATGCAGCATACTGCACTAGTTTCAGTGAACTAGCAAAGACAAACTGCATCAATTGAATGCTTTAAACAAGGTTACCAGCCAAAATTCATCTTTCTGATTTAACAGAGGAGACACGTTGACTATACATATACAGCAAGTAGTGGTAAGTGAGGCAGAAACACATTACCAGCTTCTACTGAGCGAAACAGTAAATATTATCATAATTATTTGTAAAACAAATGTAGCTACCAGTCATTTTAATTTTAAGAATGTGCTTAACAAAAGTAGCCAAACTTCAACTAGAAGCCCCCCCATAGCTGTTGAGTTATGGTGTTCCAACTAGCAGTGTAAACCCTTTTCAGTTGTTGGAATACAAGTTAACATGTTAAGTTCTCTGCAGATGGTGGGAGAAGCCTATATGAGCAATACTAACTTCATTCCCTGTCCTTATAATCTTCTACATGAAGCGATACAAAGGATTTAGAGCTAAATCCAATTGCTAGTTCCAACTAGAGTAGAAATGAATAACTGCAACCTGTAAAATCAACGCTTAGGTAAGTCCCATTGATGCAATGAATCAATCAGATTCAGTTCTCATAACACTAATTTCCCAGTGTCTTATAACATGTCACAGAGAGCCACCACAAACAGAAGAGGTGTTCCACTACTTGTCATCCACAGGTACAGGATGACAGGAATGTTGGAAGTGACAGAGCTTATTCACAATTAGGACAACTGAAGAGGGATTCAACTGGTAGAAGAAATATTAGAAATGAGTACAAGTGGGCTAATGGTGGCAGCTGTTTATTGGGCAACTGCTGCTCTTCATACCATCTTTGTTCACCAAATGCTGCATCTACAATGGAGGCAATGTAAAAGAGGAAAGGAATGCACTGAAGAAGAACTGGGCACAAAGTACAAAGGAACTATCTTTCATAAGGAGTGAAGGAGTAAAGGGAATGTGACGTAAAGTGATTCTGAGTGAAATGCTGATGTTCAAAAAGAAACTGAAAAGAAAATTACTTAGCACTGTTGATGTTTTGAGACTAGTCTAAAAACTCTCTACCTTGGATTTGAGCAAGCTTTCTCATTTAATACAGCATTTCATTTCTAGCAGAAGCTAGTCAAATGCCTGCAGGATGTTAACATAAAAAGTCTGGGGACAACAGAGATGTGCCATTCAGATTTTTTGCACAGGATTCTCCAAGAATTCCCCAGACAGAATTCTGGGAGTTCTAGTCCACAGACCCACAACTTCAGACATGTGTATTTTCCTCACCTGAAGCAAGGCCTACCTCAGAAGCTACATTCTAGGCCTCATTTCCTGCCACAATGCTTCCTGAGGGGAAGGCGGTACACTGATTCCTGACCATCATAGTCTTGGCTGCCCTTTACACTCTACAGAGACTGCCTCCTGAAGAACTATAATGTTTAAGAAGCATTGTAGCAGCTTCATCCCAGGAAGCACTGCAACTAAAATTCAGTCTCTGAGGTACATCTTCTTGCCTTTTAACCACAGGCAGCTGGAACTACTTCCAGCTTCTATTTATCACAGGATCCAGACTCCATAGGCAGGTAGGATAAGTGTGTAAACTGTGCTAGAACTGGCTCAACCAGAACAGAGTGTTGTAACCGATCACTCCCCTTTTTTGAAAGCATCAGTTATCACTACTCACAACTCAAGAGACCTAGAAGGTTTAAAGGATGTAGCCATGAAACTAGGAACAAGGAGAAAACTTTTCAAAAAGAAACCACAGGCAGCTATTAACAAACAGATGGTCAATACACATTAACAAACTGGCTAGAGTTGCTTGCACAAAAAATTCTTCATATAGTGAACAGCAAAAATAATCTATGTCCTTTGTCAGGAAAAGCATTAAAACTATCTCCTGCTGAGAATAGTGCTCCTGGATACATCTCGGAGCCAGGATGCCCAGGTTTTGGCAGTGGCCAGGAGTGCATACACAGTTAAAATTAGTGTGTCAGCTGCAGTCATTCCTGGAGAGGTCTAATCTAACCATGGTGACACATTCCTTAGTTACATCCTGTCTCGATTACAGTGGTGCCTCACATTGCGACATTAATTCGTTGCACAAAAATCACTGCAGAACGAAAACGTCGCAATGCAATTTTAAAAAGCCCATAGAAACGCATTAAAACCTGATTAATGCGTTTCTATGGGCTTAAAACTCACCATTCAGCGAAGTACCTCCATAGCGTGGCCCTTTTCGCTGCCTCTTGAGGAATCCGTCCCTAAACACAGCAGGCGGCCATGTTTTTTCCCAGCGGCCATTTTTAAACTGCCAATCAGCTGTGCGAAAATGGTCGCTTTGCGATGATCGGTTCCCCAGGCAGGGAACCGATCATTGCAAAGCAAAATTCCCCCATAGGGAACATCGCAAAGCGATCGCTTTTGCGATCACAAAAAATGCATCGCAAAGCAATTTCGTCGCTGAACGGAGCGATCGCTATGCGAGGCACCACTGTATTTGATTTCTGTAATGAGCTCTACTTGGGCCTACCTTTGGAAAGTGTTCAGAAACTACAGCAGGTCCAAAACACGGCAGCCAGATTGTTAACTGGGGATGGTTACAGGGATCACATAATTCAACTCCCTGGTTTCAGGTACAATTCAACTGCTAGTTTTAACCTATAAAGCCCAAAATGCCTTGGGTCCAAGCTATCTCAAGGACATTGTCTCCTTTATCAGCTTGCCCAGGTATTACGATTATGAGGGGAGACATTTCTCTCAATCCCACCATCTTAAGTGTGTTTGGTGGGGACATGGGAGAGACTTTCTCTGTTACTGCTCCCAGACTCTGGAATTCTATCCTATAGGAGGCCAGGTTGGCCCCATATTTGCTGTCCCTCCACAAGCAGGTGAACACCTTCCTCTTCAGATAAGCCTTCCTTTGGAGTTCAGTTCTCTGACAGACGTTTTTAAATGGAGTGCTGTGCCTTGTTGCTTTGAATTTTTTTCGGGGTTGTTGTTTTTGACAATGAGTAGACAATGAAATTTCCACAGAATCAAAAATCAGAAAAACAAAAATAGGTTCAAATCTCATATAAAGGCCAATATTGTGCTGTGCACAGAACACAGGGCTATACTATGAAGACGACATCCTCCTATGAAGCTTACTGGGTGATCTTGGACCATCACTACTTATTAATCTACAGGATTACTGCAAGACACTGGGTGTTTGGGAGACATGGAAAACTCATTTGATAGTCCAAGCTCCCTGTAAAAACTAAGGGTGTTTTAAAACAACAACAGCAAACCAAAATTTGAAAAAGTCATGCAAGCATGCACTATTGGCTAAAAGAGCCCTATAGAACAAGTAGCTAAGAAAAGGTCCCCATATCGGCACAGAGCAAATTCACTCATTAGCGACACTGCACTTACATTCTTCTTAATTTTATTTTTTATTGTTTCGATAACCCCTGCTTCTTCACTCTCACACAGTTTTTCGGTAGCTCTTAAGTCGTCACATGCCAACTGCATTTTTTCTTCTTCAAAGGTCATCATGGCATTCTGTTGAAATATAATAAGAAAAGACTACTGAATCATACAGGTTACTCTACATCTGCTTACAGTTTCAAAAACTGAGGATATTATATAGCTTGTTTTATAAGCACTTGAAATAAGCTTGTTATCTAAGAAACAATATCTCACACAAGAACACTATCTTTAAATCCACCAATAAAAGAATTGGGAGAATAAATCAGGAAGTTAGGACATGCTGTATTTATTATTCTGCACCGGTTAAGTTAGTATAGAAAATACTTCCAAACAGAAAAATAGCAGACCATAACAACAATTTTAGAACTACAAAGCTAGAGGGACCTTATGGATAATCAAGTCCAGTCCCTGTCAAGGAAGCACAACCTCTGGCTCTACAGTCAGATGCCTAAACCACTGACTTATCCAGAAGTTAGCAGAGGACCTACTACAAAGCTAATATAATTACGAATAACATTGCCGTATTATTACCACATATCTATTACCATACATCTTGAATGCTTATACTTGTAACCTATGTACTGCTCAATAGTATACAATTCCATTGGTTTAGTGATTTCAGAATGCAAAAATTTAGCAATATAGAGCCAGATCAAATGTTGTCTATCTTTATTTTTCTACACTAATGATTTCTAAATCCAAATGCAATGGCTTTTCAAGAAGTAATTCACTGTTTTCAGTATATATTTTTCTTCTGACAGTAGTTACAATATAACATCTAACCACAGAGTTGTGATAATTCAAGCTGCAGCCAAGAACACCAAGAGGACAATGGGTTGGTATAGGCTGTTGGAGAAGAATGATATTGTGGCTTCCATTTTACATCCAGCACATTCATGACAACTACACAAAATATACCCAAATTAAAGCACTTGGAATTGGCTTGAGTACATGATTATCCCAATGAAGAAGCAATCTCTCTAGCTCCTTATGAGAAAGTAACTTTTTCCATACTACTTTTAGTTACTCTGGAATAGCTGCACGCAGATCTTAACAGCCTTTCCTACAGCACATCACAAGCCCCTGAAGTACTGTCAAATTCTGTCCCATCGTTTTTGGGGTAATACTGAGCTAATTAGGGAGTAGTTTGTTAGGTTGCTGCTGCTTCCCCTTTGTTCCATCTGTTTTCTTCTTTCTCTGGCTCTTGATCCCACCTCATATCCCAAAGCATATACAGTCTGACTTGAGCTCTATGGTATCTCATGACAATGACTATGGAGGTCACAGTGTCTCTTCTATGGTGCTTTGTTCCCTGATCTTAGAGATTTCTCACAGTTCCCTCCTCTATCCAGGCAGCTGATTCTGCTGCTTCAGGTGGTGACAAGGTTTTTAAAACCTATTAACATTGAGAGCATTTATTGCCCAAATTACTGGGACAGGGAGTACTATACTGTCCTTCAGAATTAAAGTACAAAAATGAAATGAAAATTATTACAATAAATAATATAATGAAAAGGAAAGAGTCTGTGTTGTCAAGTCAATTCTGTCTTACAACAATCCTTAGATACTTCATGGTTTTCCAAGGTATGTGAGGTATCTAAGGAATGGTGTTACTAGTATTATCTGACTATAATGGTTTTAATTGTTTTTAAAAGTTTAAAGGAAAGATTGGTTAACAGGAAGAGATCAAAAATAAACTCTCTTTTACTCACAGAAGCAGAATTATGAAGCTCTCAATGTGGCGGTTGAAAGAAACTGAAAGGGGAGCCTTGGCGCCAAGGTACTTATACGAGGGGAGAGGAGTCTTATTCTGATGTGTTTTTTGCGCAGATCACCCAGGGTATGATTCACAGAGACCACCAAGAAGAACTTTATTTATCCTCAATTATAACTGATGTAACAATATTCAATTATTTCCAAAGGAACATGAAATTGTGATAATATCTGAAGTTCCTATATAGAACAGTGATAATTGGTTGTTAGTTTTTATGGCCTCTTAAAATTCTGATGGAATTATTTCTAATACTTTACAATCCATGATAATCTGAACTGTAATTCCCAAAATACATCATGGATTCCCTGCAGTTGAATTCATAGCTGGACTTCCCATCATTTAACTCAATAAATAAAATATTTTAGAATATATAAGCTTAGGTATAATGGTTGCTGTGTGTTCATTCTATAAACATATCAAGTATAAATTTCAAGATAGTGAAAAGCAAAAGATACTAATTCCTGACCTCTGCTTCTCCTAACAAAACTGGATGCTTCATATATGGCTGAAATGAAAATGCTGTCATATTGTATTAGATTTTTAAAAAATGTTGTGCTATATGAATTCTCTTTCAGTTAGACGCTAAAGCAGTATTTGTATAGATTGCCCAATATTTTTTTAAAATCCTTTTTAACTTAGATGCTTCAAAGTCAAACATCAAATGAACTGGACCTCTCTACTTCTGAGTAGGATAATTTTATCTCCACCTTCACACAACAGATTTTCCAAAGCTTTTCCTAACGGAAGTTTGAATGACACAGACATTTAACGTGCTGCAGCTATATTTAGACCAGGAACTAAGCAGAAGCTTTTCAGGTTGCAGTGATGCTGTGCTGGGATATTAATGTGGTTCAGCAAACCTGTTCAAACAGGCAACATTGGAGGAAAACAAAATATTTCTTATTATCTCTTGGCCACCAAAAAGGCTTGTCCAAGAGAAAAAACCTTTTTCTCATCTTCTAATTTATACTACTGGGATAGTGACAAACTGCAAGGTTTACTGAACATCCACAGTCAACAATAATAGGTGTAAGTGGCATTTGCAACATATTGCCATGTATTCCCTACCTTCCCATGTAACTTCAACAAGGAAAGGAAAGAAGGATTACTGCAGTCTCACAGCGCCAAAAAATCTATACCATTTTCACAATATACAAACACCTATTCTGTAGCACATTAAAAGCTTTTATATATTTTTGCAATATGAGCTTTCACAGGCAAAAGGCTATTTCATTTGATACTTGATCACTGATGGCATCCTAAAAAAGGTTAAGAAAAAGAAATATAATTTACTATAGTTTGTTCTGATGTGCAGGAAAAGACCAACATCCTTCATATGCAACTGGAGAGACACGTCACAGTCCAGAATGGTATCATTAATGATGGCAGCACAGCTATTTGTCTCTATGTATATATTAGTTCTAAGAAAACGATCTGTGCCAAGATTTTTAGCTAGTGTAATATTTGGATGTTAGACAAATATCGCTCCAACCTGCACATGTGCCACCAAATTACAAAAAGGTTAGAAAATATGTAGGCACTAATAGGGGACCAATTTTTTTCAGTTTAGGGGATTGAATATTATATTTTGAGTGCATAATTAACCACATTTCAAAATAATCTAATCCAGCAAATATATACAGTAGTAGCTATACTTCACTATACTGCATATTCAGTTCTCAGATCCTCCCAGTTTATTAGCTGTGGACATAAACTGGGCTCTACTTTCTGCATCCAGAGAAATAAAAAATCCTATTTATCTATTTATAGGCTACCTTCAAAGGTAGAACCTTCCCAAGCCAGCATACAGATAAACAAAATACAAAACAAATACAGTAAAATTTCAATAATCAAACATGCCATAAAAGTCAATAAAAGCAAAAATTACCAATAAAAGCAGTAGCCCTAGAACTGTGGAAAGGCAAGTGAAAAGCAGGTAAATTTTCAGATTTTTCTTGAAGACAAATCTCTGACAGAAGATTGTTCCAGAGGTGCAGGACCACCACTGAAAAGTCAGCGCCCCTCAAATTCCTGATTATGGTCCAATGAGAAAGCCTTCTACTGCTGACATCAGAGTATAAGGCTGGTATAGGAGAAGGCAGTATTTCAACTAATTTGGACCCAAACCATTTAAAGCAAAACGTGCTGCTTATATACCACCCCATAGTGCTTCAAGCACTCTCTGGGCGGTTTACAAGTTAATTATGCAGGCTACACATTCCCACCCACCCCCCAGCAAGCTGGGTACTCATTTTACCGACCTCGGAAGGATAGAAAGCTGAGTCAACCTTGAGCCGCTACCTGGGATTGAACCCCAGGTCGTAAGCACAGTTTTGGCTGCAGTACAGCAGTTTAACCACTGCGCCACAAGGCAACATTTTGAACTGGACTTAGAAATGAAGTGGAAGACAGTACAGCTTACACAGTATCAGAGTCACATAAGCAAACTACCTAGCACACTGATTTGCTTAAGGAAGGTGTTTCAGATGATAACAGCCTACTGATACAGGGAAGAGGGGATAGGAAATGTTTAACTGAAGAGAAAAATGCCATGGCGACATCATCAGCCTTGTGCATGTAGAGCTCCTCACACAGGATTGCAGCTATTCTACCGTATAATATGAAATGCAGAATTTAAAGGCACATTGCAAGGGAGGAAAAAAAATAAAGGTTACATGAAGTTTTCATAAATAGTAGCAGTGCAAAAAAAAAGCATTACAACATATATATAATGTTGTTTATGAAACAGAAATGGCCCAAAGGAGTATTTTATGCTCACTTACCAAAAAACTGACAAAGCTGGCTCCAAAACTCATTAAAGGACTATGGTTTCTGGAAAAAAGAGCAAAAAATGATTAAGTTATTACAGTATATGCATAAAACACATATCACTACTGGGGGAAATCAAATAATTTGATAAATATTTTTATGTAATTGGGAAGAAGAGACATCAGCACTGCTCCTTAACTCTCAGCACAGTATGGTATGATCAAAAAATGGAGTACAATTTTAAAAAACCCTTCTAGAAATTACTGTTAAAAATGAAGAGCTCTGTTTTACTTTTGCAGAACATATTTCATTTTAAATATATTAGATTTTCAAAATTCACTGCATAATGTTCAACTCAAAATAGCATAGTTTTTAAAAACAAAGACACAATAAACATTTAGTATGGAGTAACTAATATTAATAATTATGTTAAATTAATAATATCAGTTTAATACCACAGGATTTTTTCCCTAGACAGCAATCAAGTGAACAAAATGGTAACATAAGACAGAAACAATTTTTAAGCTGGAAGTTTCTTTGCAATTCACTTCAGTTGCACTGCTGCAGCAAAGTGTATTATTATTAATTGAAATATAATCTATTAATCCAATAATATAAATGGTTACACTGGAGTTCTCAAAATAATCTCCAGAGTACACAGATGTATTGCCGAGCCAAAGTACTGCAGGCACTGCAAATCAGAAGGTTGGATTACTATAATGCACTCTGTATGGGGTTCTCCTTAAATTGGATTCAGCAGCTGCAGTTATTATAGCATGTACCTGCTCACCTGGAGTTAGATGCTATTTCATATGAATATGTGTCACGTTCCCACCTGTCCCTTGATTGTTTCACCAAACACAGGACACAAGCTACATGTCTTTCAGATGCCACCAGTTGATTACATCAACATTATGTATTATTAATAATAGAGGTCCATTTTGAATAGAACCAAATAGAAGTTGTTTATTAATATAGGGATGAAGGTACAATCAATGTCTTCAGCTCTTAACCAAACATCCCACTTCATCCACCCTCAACCGCTAGCCCTTTCTCCCTTCACTCCAAACTCCCAATTCCAAAACCTCCCTTCTCCACTCCTCTCAAACTCCAATCTCCTCTCCTCCTGCAGAGAATCTTATAACTCCTGACTCTCCCTCTCCAGCACTCTCGCTGTCCCATGCAGATAGCATATGAATATTCATTACCTGGGCAGACACCACAATATGTTAACATCTTTGTAGAAGATTCTGCACTGTTTGTGCTATTAGTTTAGGCTTAAGGTTTTGGTATTAGCACATGGAAGCCTTGAAAAGCTAGGAACAGGATGTTGAGGACATACTTTTTTCTCTAAGTTCTTGAAAAGAGTGGGTCCAAGGGATTCCATAAGGGCTTGTTTTGGAGAGCTGCCTGGAAGGCACCATGCATAGGACTAGAGATGGGGGTATTCGTATACGAATATCTCCGCACGGGTGGTGTTAACAAGGGTCCTGCACCATGGGGCCAGACTGTCCACTCACCGATCTGCCACGGATGTGGATGGCACGATTCTACAAATGGTGCCGCAGTGCGCTATCTGCTCGCCACTCTTTGACCTTGCAGAGAGGCTTGTCCTCCTGCCTCCTGCCAGGAGTGATGAGCAGATTGTGCGCTGCGACGCCATTCGTAGAATCGCGTCATCTGCATCCGCAGTGGATTGGTGAGTGGACCGTCCGGCCCCATGCAGCTGGACCCTCACTAACGTGGATTGGTGAGTGGACCGTCCAGCCCCATGCAGCTGGACCGTCACTAACGCCACCTATGTGGGGATATTCGTATACAAATGCCCCCATCTCTACATAGGACTTTTAGAATATCAGTTCCCATCCCACAGAATGCAATCCCAACAAAGATTAGCTATATGCCTATATTATCTTGGTTCTGGCATCTGATGAAGACTTTTTGTTTTCAAACAACTATTTTATAACACAGATGGACAATTTTATTTACAGTTAAGAAACTACTATACCAGCCAGAATCTTATTGGTGTTTACATAAGGTTTGCCATAACTTGCCATTACAAATTGCAGCTAACTGACAAGGTGTTAAAGCATATTTTGGTCACATGACTAACTATACAACGTGGATGCACTCTGGCACCTAGTCAATCAACTGCAATTCACCATGTCAAGTTACACAAATCTGGCACAAACACCAATAGGATTCCAGTCATCATATAATAAACATACATGTTAACACACTGAAAAAATACATTTATAGAAGTATGAATTCTTCAATATATAATAAAAGCCCAAACAATCATAGTCTGGAAGGAATGGGCACACACAAAGTTGTTCAGAGACTTATCCGAGCTCCCACCCAAGCGCTCGTTAAGCGAGGCACCACTGTATAATAAAAGCCCAAACAATCATAGTCTGGAAGGAATGGGCACACACAAAGTTGTTCAGAGACTTATCCGAGCTCCCACCCAAAATAATTGTAAGATACTCAGAAGAATAGCCAGGGAAGGACTGAATAATAGGTTATACTGGAACTTTCTCTGCTCCTTGACAAAAACTGAAATGAAGAACATGCAAAACAAACTTCACCTCAACATTGTTGCAGGGCCAAAACCTTACATTCCTTGGGATTTTTTCTGCCATCCAGTAAATTAGAAGGGACAAGAGCTCCGACAAGCTCACTGTAAACTACATTCAGCATCCTATGTTTAACAATAGATTTAGCACTAAGTCCACAGACAGTAGTTAGAGAGTAATGAACAGAATGGAACTGCATTTTCAGTCACAATCCCTCAGCCAATGTGATTCATAAGAATCCTACACTGGCAAGACTCGTACTGATTAGTAACATGAGCATAAATGCAATGGCATAAATTACAGAGGTGAACTGCCACTAGAACAGATGCATCCAAATCCCATCCTCTTTGACATTCAGGAAGTACAGTGGTGCCTCGCATTACGACGTTAATTCGTTCCAGCGAAATTGCTGTAGAACGAAAACGTCGTAATGCAAAATCAAAAAGCCCATAGAAACGCATTAAAACCTGATTAATGCACTCCTAGGGGCTTGAAACTCACCGTCCAGTGAAGATCCTCCATAGCGCGGCCATTTTCGCTGCCTGTGAAGCAAGGAATCCGTCCCAGAAAAGAGCGGGGAGCCATGTTTTTTACCCAGCGGCCATTTTGAAACCGCTGATCAGCTGACTGAAAATCATCGCTTTGCGAGAATCAGTTCCCAAAGCAGGGAACCGATCATCGCAAAGCAAAATTCCCCCACAGGAAACATCATTTTGCGATCATAAAACCTTCAACGTAAAGCGATTTCGTTGTAAAACGGAGTGCTCGTAATGCGAGGCACCACTGTTTCAACAAGGGTGCCCTAGGTGACAATTAAAGACCCATTTCTTCACCTGACTCCTTCTAAGAAGACATTTCCCCACAGAATTTTTAAGAGCTGGAACATCTTTGAGTGCCACATGAGAACCTTCTCTCACGTCCAGGATTATGCAGATTGGCTGGCTTTGTTTGGTGACTGGTCTTCAGGAGTTAAGCATCACATTCCTTTGAAATCTGATTTCATAAACACAGGAAAACTGCCTCAGTCACTTTTCCATCATATTAGAGTGTTGCTGAGTTTAAAGTCTGTGTCTAGCCTCGGGGATTAGGTGGAACAAGAACCAGTTGAAAAAAGTCACAGAAAGCATAAAGCATCAAACAAAAATGGCTAGCAAAATAGATCAAGAAAGATGAAAGCAGCAGAAATAGCTAGATTTGGCAGTGAAAACAACTGGCTATTCTGATATGGACACTTCTAGTGAAATACTAGTCACTTAAGTGGAATTCATTAGTGGAATTCATATCAGTAGAAATAACATCATGCTCCATAAATTTCTACATAGAGCACAGAAAAAAATATCAAATGGGAGCTGGAGTGCCATGGTAAATCAAAAGATAAATGATGGAGGCTTTGAGATGAAGGAAATGGAAAATATGGGAAATGATGGAAAGAAGAGATCACAGCATACATTTTAGATGTAATATGTGAAGAGGAGTCTTGAGTAGGTACAGGTGGGTGGACAGGAGTAGTTAGAATTCAAAGGGCACCAAAAAGATAGACAAAGCACTGAGAATACCAACGAGTGACATAGCTAAGGGTAGTGGAGTAATATTGCTTAGGAAAGAAGATGCACTGGGAAATAAATACATTTACAACTGATAAAATCATCCAAGTCTTCTGTTTTCTTCCAGAGAGGTTCAAGATGAACAGTCTATTAACATGGAATTTAATGGAGTTAGACTTGTAGATCTCTTTGAGACCAAAGTTGGTCAAGAATGTTTTATGGTCAAGGCAAAGAAGCCAAGCAGTATGTTGTAAAAACACTATAAGCACAATAAACTGATAGTTTCCTTTTAATGATATTGGATATTTTTTAACAAGTAAGCCAATCTTGATTGAGGTTATAAACTTCAGACTGTAGAAGGGTAAAGATCACAAACAAGAAAGGCGCACAGAGTCAGAGGCAATTCCAGGACAAGGAATGCACAGAGGAACACAATGTCAGAACAAACGGAAGCAGCTGTTATGCTTATTTTCATCTGTTATAAAAGTACCTTGTAATTAAACATCGCTGGGACGTTTCATGGCACAAGGAGATGGGAGCACAGCCAAAAACGTACTATACAAAATCATCTGCATTCCAAACAAAGAGCTAGTTGGCAGCAAATAACAAAGTGCAGTAAATGAATATTCTGCCATACTATGGAACTGACAGAGTAATCATATACAGTATGTAGTTACAGAGAAATATGTCCCATCAAATTTGATTATTTCTATTCCTAAGTGATTCCCAGTGTGGTAAAGTGGACAGAGTAATGGACTAGGACTCTGGAGAACAGGGTTCAAATCTCCACTCAGCCATGGAAACTCACTGGGGGAGTAGAATTAGTGAAGCCGCTCCTTAAATATCCCACTTATGTACCTTGAAAGCCCAATTAGGTCACTATGAATCAGTTCCTACCTGACAGCATGTAACACACACATTCCTAAGTACTAACTTCATGCCT